CACATGGTCTTGATTACTGTAGCTTTATAGGAAATCTTCAGTGTGAGTCCTCCAATTTAGTTCTTGTTCAGTATTATGTCAGCTATTCTGGGTCTTTTGCCTCTCTGTGTAAACATTAGAATCATTTTGACAATATCTTCAAAAAATTTGCTGGTATTTTGACTGAGTTTGCATTGAATCTATAGATCAAGTTGGGAAGAACTAATATCTTCACAATATTGAGTCTTCCTATTTATGAACATGGAGTATCTCTCCATTTGTTTAATTCTTTCATATCTTTCACCAGAGTTTTATAGTTTTTCTCACATAGATCGTATATATATTTTGTTAGATTTATTTATACATGCATATATCATTTTGGGTGCTAATGTAAGTGGTATTGAGTTTTTTATTTCAAATTCAGCTAGTTATTACTGATATATAAGAAAGCAGTTGACTTTTATATATTAACCTTGCTGTGATTGCTGCTTAGTTCCAGAAGGGGTTTTATGGTCAAATTTTTTCAGATTTTCTACACAGATAATCATGACATCTGCATACAAAGACATTTTTATTTCTTCTTAATCTATGTGCCTTTTACTTCCTTTTCTTATCTTATTGCTTTTGCTAGGACATCCTGCACTTGTTCCTAATCTTAATGGTAAAGCTTCAAGGATCTTACCATTAAGTATGATATTAGCTATAGGAATTTTGTAGATTACTTTTTTATCAAGTTGAAAACACTCCCTCTATTTCTAGTTTACTGAAAGTTATCATAAATTGATATTGGATTTCATTAAATGATTTTTCTGCATCTGTTGATTCAATCATGTGACTTTTTCTTTAGTCTATTGATGTGTTGGATCATATTAATTGATTTTTGAAGGTTGAACCAGCCTTGCATAGGTGGGATAAATCTCAGATGCTTGTGGTATGTAATTATTTATACATTGTTGAATTTTTTGGTAATATTTTGTTGAAGATTTCTTCATCTATGTTCATGAAAGGCATTGTTCTCTAGGGGGTTTTTTGTTTTTGTTTTTTGTAATTTCTTTGTCTGATTTTGTTAATCGACTGATGCTGGGTTCATAGAATAAGTTAGGAAGTATTCCCTTGGCTTCTATCTGCTGGAAGAGACTATAAAGAATTGGTATAATTTCTTAAATTTGTGGTAGAATTCACTAGTGAATGCATCTGAACCTGCTGCTCTTTTAGAAGGTTATCAGTTATTGATTCAATTTCTTATAATAGGTATAGGCCTGTTTAGATTGTCTATTCTGTGTGTGAATTAGCAAAGTGTGTCTTTCAAGGAATAGGTCCTTTTCATGTAAGTTATAAAACTTGTGGGTATAGGGTTGTTCTAGTATTTCTTTATTATCATTTTAATGTCCATGGAATCTGTAGTGGTGTCCCCTTCTTCATTTCTGATATTAATAAATTTTGACCTTTTTTTTGTAGTTAGCCTAGCTGCAGGCTTTTTATTTTATTGATCTTTTCAAATAACCAGCTTTTGGTTTTGTTGCTTTTTCTCTATTGATTTCCTGTTTTCAATTTCATTGATTTCTTTTTTTAAATATTTGTTTTTATTTTATTTTTCCATCGCCATTTATCTCCTCTGTGCCCTCTTCCACCTCCACCCTACAATCACCACACTGATGTCCATGTCCATGAGTTTTCTTTCTTTTTATTTCTTTTTTTGCTCAATCCCTTTACCCCACCCTTCACACCTCCCTGCTCCCCACCACAACTGTCTGCTCTCTATTTTGAGGCTATTTTACTTGGTAGTTAATTTTTTAATTCAGTTTAATTTACTTTCAATTTAATTTGCTTTTTTTTTTCCTAGTTTCATAAGGTGGAAGTTATGATGATTCATTTTAGACCTTCTTTTCTAACATATGCATTCAATACTACAGCAAATTTTAAGTTGTGTTTTCATTTTCATTTAATTCAAAACATTTCTTAATTTCTCTGGGGATTTCTTCTTTGACCCATGTGCTATTTAGAAGTGTGTTATTTTAATATCCTCGTATTTTAGGATTTTTAAACTAGTTTTTTGTTATAGATTTCTAGTTTAGTTCTATTTTAGTCTGAGAGCAGACATTGTATCTTTTCTCTTTTAAATTTATTAAGATGTGTTTTATGGCCCAGGATGTGGTCTATCTTGGTGAATGTTCCATATGAACTTAAGAAGAATGTGTGTTCTGTTCTTGTTGATTGAAATAGTCTATTCTTGTCCATTATATCCAGTTGATTGATAATGTTGTTAAGTTCAACTATGTCCTTACTAATTTTCTGGCTGCTGTGTCTGTCCACTTGTAATAAGAGGCTGTGGATGCAGTTCTGTCTCTTTTGACTGCATGTAGTTTGACATTGTTATCAGGTGCATACATGTTAAAGATTGTTAAGTGTGTTTCTTGTAGACAGAATATAGTTGAGTCTGATTTTTTTTATCCACTTTGACCATCTTTATTTTATAATTGGTGCATGTAGTCCATTGGTGTTCAGAGTGATTATATAGTTGGAATAATATCTATTATATTTGTTAGTTTTCTATTTGTTGCCCTTTTTTGTTCTTATATTTGTCATTCACTTTTTTTCAGCCTTTTATGGTTTTTATTAAGCATTTTATGTTATTCCATTTTCTCTCCTTTCTTAGCATGTCACTTACTTTCTTTTTACTCTGGCTTAGTGCTTACTCTAGAGTTTGCAATATACATGTACAAGTAATCCAAATCCACTTTCAGATAACACTATACAGCTTCACAAATAGTGTGGGTACCTAATAATAACAAAATAGTCTACGGCCATACCACCCTGAATGAGTCCGATCTTGTCTAATAATAACAAAATAATCCTAAATTTTTCCTCCCATCACTTGCATTATTGCTAATATTCATTTCATTTATAGATAAGTGCACATGCGCACACCCACACAAACATAGTTGAATACAGTGTTGCTGTCATTATTTTGAACAGTATTATCTGTCAGATCAGTAATAAGAAAAATGAGTTTTTATTTTATTTTATTCCTTCTTCAATGCTTTTTCTTTCTTTACATATAACTGAGTTTCTGACCTACTAACTTTTCTTCTCTCTGAAGAATGTCTTCACACATTTGAAATGGCAAGTGTACTAGCAACAAATTCCCTCAATATTTGTTTGTATAAGAAAGTATTTCTTCACTTTTGTAGGATAATTTTACAGGGTAAGGAAGTATTTTTTCTCTTAACACTAAATATTTCCACACTCTTGCTTGAATGGTTTCTAAGGAGAAATCAGATGTAATTCTCATTTTTGCACCTTTATCAATGAGATGTAGGGGGGTTTCTGTGGTTTCTTGTTGGAATATTTTTCTTCCCCTCCCCTTTTTTCTTTGACTTTGTATAATTTAAAAAGGATTTGCCTAGGTGTAATTATCTTGGCATTTATACAGCATAGAGCTTCCTAGATCTGTGGTTTGGTGTCTGACATTAATTTGGGTAAATTCTCAATCATTTTTATTTCAAATAGTTCTTCTATTCCTTTCTCACCTTCTCCTTTTGGTATTTTTATTATGTGTATGTTACACCTTTTATAGTCCCACAGTTCTTGGATATTTTGTTTTGGTTTTATTAGGTTTTTAATCGGTCCTTGTTCTTTTTACTTTTTAGTTTTAGAAGTTGCTATTGCGATACCCTCCATCTCAGAGATTTTTTTCCTCAGCTGTATTCAAACTATTAATAAGCCCATCAAAGGCATTATTTATTTCTATTACAGTGTTTTTGATCTCCAGTACTTCTTTTTTGTTTCTTTCTTAGAATTTCAATCTCTCTACTTACATTGCTCATCTGTTCTTGCATACTGTCGGCTTCTTTATTAGAGCCATTAGTATACTATTCATTGTTTCAAATTCCTAGTCTGATAATTTCAACATTGCTTTCATGTCTGAGTCTGGTTCTGATGCTTTCTCTTTCTCTTCAAACTGTGTTTTTGCCTCTTAGTATGTCTTATAATTTTTTTTTCTTGATAACTAGGCATGATGTACTGGGTAAAAGGAGCTGCTGTAAATAGGCCTTTAGTGATGTGGCGATACAGTTTTGGGGAAAGGAAGGTGTTCTATATATAGTCCTATGATTAGGTCTCAGTCTTTTAGTCAGTTTGTGCCTCTGGAATGTGAACTTCATGGTGCTTCTCAGTATTTCCAACCTCCTCTCTTAGTTAGGTGGGACAGGATGGTTAGAGTGGGCTGGAGTTGGTTATTTCCCAATAAAAGCTCAGCAGGTTAGGGTCTAGTTAACCGTTCCTCCTAGGGGCAGACTGTTGAGAAGAACAGAATGCTTGTGTCTTCCAAAATGATTCTTTTTCCTTTCCTCCTGCAAAGAAGCACAAGGGCATTTCCCCCCCCCCCCCCCCCTCCCCCCCCCCCAGTATTCACTGTGAGACCCAGTAGAGATCCAGGAGGTAAAATTTACAGAAGTGTGGAGTCCCTGAATGACAAGGTCCACCTGGTGTTTTTGACTTTCAGAGTTGTCCACCTTAGCCTCCAAAAACTTGTCAATTATGATTCAGGCTTCTCTACCCCAGCAGTTCTTCCACAGACGTTTCTGTTCTGGTTAAGTTGTGATTCTCTGTTTGCTACCAGTCTCTCCAATTTGAGAGACAGCAGTTTGCCCTGTGACCTCCCTTATCTTAAGGATTAAAGAATAGTTGTTGATTTTTTTCAGTTTGTTTAGCTTTTTAGTTGTTTTTAGGACAGAGTGATGACTTCCACACTTGTTATATGCTAAACTAGAAACATACTATTTAATCATTTGGTTTTTACAAGTTTGCTTTACTGATCTGAATATTTGAACTAGTTTTTACCTGGAAACTTGACCTTGTCTAATTTTTTTTACCTGATAAATAAATCTTCTCTAACAAATTCTATTATAGAAATAAGTGAATATGAATTATACATTAATCTTTAATTTGATAATTCACAAATGTGGTACTGAATAGCTTGTTTCATTTTTCAAGTGTTTTTCACTTTCTTTATTTTGAAGCTGCTTCTCAGCCCGTTGATAACCATGTTAGCCCATCTTCCTACTTGGGCCAGACACCAGCATCACCAGCCAGATACTCACCTGTTTCTAAAGCAATGCTTGGAGATGATGAAATTACACGGTAAGGAACTGAACATACATCCTTCTTACATAAAGCCAACTATTAGATGGAGTTCTAATCAGCCAAGTAGGATAGACATAATTTTCAGGACTAAAAATTTTTATTGACAGATGAGGAACCTAAACCTTAACTTTTCCATTGGATGATTCATTGAAGAGACTGAAATGTAAAAATATTTTATATTCCAAATAAATCACTGCTCTTTTTTTAATATTGCTATTTTTTAATGATTGGTAAATTATCATTAGAAAGTAGCTATGGTAAAAGTTAAGAACATATTTAGGGATATTTAAAACTAACTTTTTATATATTTTTACCTAATATATACCATATAATATTATGGCATCTATTTTTCAGAATTCAACAAGTAGTATTTTCTCTAACACCTAAAATATACTTTCAACTAACATTACTAACTGCACTCAAGTTTGTAGATTAACTGTCTTTTTATTCCCAAAGAACTCTCAACTAGGTGGGAAAAAATAACTGAAAAAGTATTTTAGATCTTTTTCACATTTACTATAGTAATAAGACATTTTTGTACAGTTTGCTTTATACTTTGTACAAGTATTTCATATTATAGCACTTACCATTAAACATATGCTAATTAATGCCTATTTTTATGTTTTTATTAGTTTCATTATTGTCAGAATTATTATTTTTGAACCTTCATAAGTCTAATTATTCTTTATTTGTCAGACTCCTTACTTTAGGCAGTGATCTCTTTAAGGTCATATAGGAATGTTTGTCTTTGTCCGCTTCTATAAGAATTAGCAATGTTGAGAACTTAATTTAAAAGGTGCTCAGTAATTATGTTTGGAATGAAAATCAGCAAAAAGCATAGTGTTTGTGATGATGATATGAATTTTCAAGGCTATTAGTGTTTAGGCTATGCTCCTGTACTATGTAATAAAAGGCTAATATGCAGATTGTCCCCTCAACTGGGAGTTCGACCAGGGGGCGGGACCAGCCAGCCAACTGCCCGCGGCCCCTCCCCCCAGCCAATCGGCCCCAATTGGGGCAGGCCAGCCAGATCCCACCTATGCATGAATTCATGCACCGGGCCTCTAGTCTGTCATAATCATTTTGTTGCTTTCTAATAGTGCCTATAGGAGTAAAGAGGAAAATAATTAATGGCTTATCTAGTCTTTAATCTCTGCTTATTTTTCAAACTAAAATATATGTTATATTAGCACCTTGATTGCTATTTCCTATCTTTTTCACTTGTATATCTCCTGTCTAGAATATTGTATAGGACTTTGTAGTATCACATGATGGATGTACCTGATTTCTATACTTTTCTATAAAATTCAGGTGGTTGGTTACTAGATATGTCTTCCCAAATTGGTGTGCATTTTATCACTCCCTTTTGATAATTACACTACTATGCCCAGATATTGAGATATAAAATCTTCACTTTTCCATCAGCAGTTCTCCACAGTGTGATCCTAAAGCAATCTTTCAGAGGTTATCTCACATTACCAATCTTAAATAAAAGAAAAGAAATCCCAACAGTTGATTTAAAGGTTTATTTTTAACAGATATGATCCACATACAGTTCACCCATTTAAAGTGTACAACTCTGATTTTTGGTATATCACATTATTAATTTTTTTAATATGGTAATATATGCATAACATAGCATTTGCCATGTGCAATTCAGTGCAACCATAACATTATGCAACCATCACCACTATTTCCAAAACTTTTCCTTACCTCAGACAAACTATAACCATTAAGAAATAACTCTCCATTTCCCTATCCTTCTTGCTCCTCCTGGTAACCACTACTCTACTCTCTGTCTCTGTGAATTTGCCTACTCCAGATTGTTAATATAAGTGGAATCTTAAAATACTTATCCTTTTGTGTCTGGCTGTAGCATGTACAGAACTTCATTCCTTTTTATGGCTGAATAATATTCCATTTTGTGTATATACCCCATTTTGTGTATCCATCCATTTGTTGACAGACACCTGAGTTGTTCCCACCTTTTGGATATTGTGAATAATGCTATAATAAACAATGGCATGTGAGTATCAGTTTCTGTCCCTGCTTTCAATTCCTTTAGATAAGTGATTTTCAATCAGTGTGCCACAAGAATTTTTAAAACATTCAATACTTAACTGTTTAATCAGGAGCACTGACTGCTTTTCCCTTAAATTGTCAAAAAACATGACAATAGCACAGCTCTGTTTATGCCGGGTTTTCTCTAAAGCTGAGATGGCAGCCAATCAACCACTCTCTGAAGAGTGTAGTGTTGCTATTAATAAAGTGGCATCTTATAAGCTGCACATCAGTGTTGCTTATTTATCTATGCCCTATAATTCCATTGAAGACTCAGTACAACCTCTTGTTGCCGAATTCTTTGAAGACCAAGCTGAGGTGAAGAGGGAAAATGGAAAGGAATTCCTGAAATATCTAAGAAAATGTGGGAGTAAAATTTGCCTTCCAGTGTTTAAGAGGCCTGAAATAAATAACTAGAGACCCGGCATAAAAGCTCTAGAGCAGCGGTTCTCAACCTGTGGGTCGCAACCCCTGTGGGGGTCGAACGACCCTTTCACAGGGGTCGCCTAAGACCATCAGAAAACACATATATAATTACATACTGTTTTTTGATTAATCACTATGCTTTAATTATGTTCAATTTGTAACAATGAAATTGGGGGTCACCACAACATGAGGAATTGTATTAAAGGGTCGCAGCATTAGGAAGGTTGAGAACCACTGCTCTAGAGGGAGGAAATCGTAAGCGATTAGCAAATCAGGCTCAGGAGGAGGAAGACCCATCGTAAAAGCCTGCTGAGTGTTGGGTGAATAGACCTAACATCAGAAGGCAACAAAGCATGTCTTCTCATTGTAGTAGGTCCCAAAATCAATCAGGTGCTTAAGAATCTTGATCCTGCCCTGACTGATTTGGCTCAGTGGATAGAGCGTCGGCCTGTGGACTGAAGGGTCCCGGGTTCGATTCCAGTCAAGGGCATGTACCTTGGTTGCGGGCACATCCCCAGTGGGGAGCATGCAGGAGGCAGCTGATCGATGTTTCTCATCGATGTTTCTAACTCTCTATCCCTCTCCTTTCCTCTCTGTAAAAAATCAATAAAATACATTTTTTTAAAAAAAGAATCTTGATCTTCTCCATTTGACAGAAGACTGCTTTTCTTCATTGGTATGTGTACAAATAAACCTATTTTTTGCATTACTTAAAAAAAAATGACAACAGCCACCACAACAATAGCTGTCCAGTGTGAATGAATCAAAATTATACCTTTTTTTTTTTTTCTGGTCCGATCGGCAAAAATATTTTTGGGTATGCCACCAAATTTTAGTAATTAGTTTGTGTGCTATGAGATTAAAAATGTTGAAAATTGCTGCTTTAGATATATATCTGTGAGTGGAATTGCTGGATCATATGGTAACTCTGTGTTTAAGTTGATGAGGAACTACCTATTTTCTACAGAAGCCACATCATTTTTCATTCCCACCGTCAATAATTTTAGGGTTTCAGTTTTTCCACATCCTCACCAACACTTGCTTTTCATGTTTTGTTTTATAGCCATTGTAGTAGTTGGGACATATTGTGATTTTTACACATTTTCCTAATTACTAATAATTAAGTATTATTTACTACTATAGAAGTAGAATTCATATATATTTAAAGCATAATAGGAACCCTAAACCATGAGTCTACCATCTAACAAGAAAATAAAACATCACCAATATAGTGAAACCTATCCTGTGTCCTGCTTTTCTGCACTGCCCCACCAAGTTAACTGCTTTTCTGAATTTTGGATTTATTCCCTTTTTTCTTTCATATATGTTTGTGTATATAATATATCCTAAACAGTACATATTTAGTTTCGCAATTTTTGACAAGAAAATATAATTTTGTTAACACTATAAGTGAACTGGCAAAACTGATACCTCTGTATGACTAGAAAATACCATTTTAAGTTTTGAGTAGACAAACATTTAAGAAGCTTAATTTCACATTATATGGAAGTATTCCTAAAATACATTTGTAAAATTTATTTATTTCTTCTAAGCTTTTTGTTATCAATAGATTTCTGTGATGTTTTAGAAAAATCACATTAAATTTAAAAAATGTTTATCAAATATGATATAGTCTAATCTCAAGTGATGTTCTGTATTTTATTATATAAAACTAGAGGCCCGGTGCACAAAGTTAGTGCACTGGCGGGGGGGGGGGGGGCCCTCAGCCCAGCCTGCACCCTCTCACAATCCAGGACTTCTGGCTCCCAGCCGCTCGCCTACCTGCCTGCCTGATTGCCCCTAACCACTTCTGCC